TGCGGTTAACCCTAGTACAGGTTCAAATCTAGTTCAACCAGGAATTAACACTGTGACCGGTGGTATTTTATATTACGATCCTAATAAAGATCGTGAAGAATTAGCAAAGATGGTTACCGTTATGTGCTTACCCTATACTTTTCCTTCTAACCCTAACTTTGTGCATTATATTAGAAAAGTTTTTAATCCTACTTATAAAGGTTGGCCTCGCGCTATAAGCAATAATGCGTTTTTGCATTATCCACGCGTCATCTATGCAATGACTTGTAACAGTTAGATAATCACAGTCATTATTACTTCTACCAATATAGTTATCGGATTTCTATTTCTACTGATATTGGTAGAAGTAATAATGACTGTGATTATCTAACTGTTACAAGTCATTGGATAGATGACGCGTGGATAATGCAAAAACGCATTATTGCTTATAGAATAATTAATTCACGTCACACAGGTAAGTTTATTGTAACACTGTTGCAGATATTTGTAGATATTTTTGCATTAGAGATAAAATAATGGCAATTTCTATGGATAATGCTTCTAGTAACACTAGTGCTATAGGCATACTTACAACAACACTAAATCCTGCATTTAGTAATTGTTTCCATGTGATATGTATTTGTCATATTTACCATTTAATCGTCGGTGATGGTATGAGAATTTTAAATTTAGAAATTGAAAAGGTTAGAATGGCTCTTAATTGGCTTTTCTTTATTCAAACCGTAGAAGTAGACTTAGAGAGTATTTTAAAAAATATGATGAATTTGGCCTTAGAGAAAGAAAAGTTCCTAAACCTTGTCCGACTAGATGAAATTATATGTACGAAAGTTTAGTAGTTGCATATGAATATAGAAACCCAATTAATGCAACGTTTAATGCCCGTGTTGGTGGTGAGGATGATGATGAAATCCTTACAAATCAAGGTTGGACGAATTGTTAAAATTCTTATAGATTTTTTAGAACATTTTCAAATTGCTACAAATGCATTTTCTGGGCAATATTATCCTACTATTTCAAACTGTTTAGTTTATATTGCAGCACTATGTGATTTGTTTGTTGAATTTTCGGAGGGTGGGGAAATTTATAAACTTGCTATAAATGCAATGAAAGAAAAGTTTAAAAAATATTTTTTCCCTATCCTCCTATTTATGGTGTTGCTGCAATGTTAAATCCTACAATGAAATTAGGAGGTCCTCACTTTTGGTACTCAAATATTTATAAGGCTTTAGATCTTTCAGATGAGGAATTTGCTACACTTGCAGATGCAAAAGCCTCAATTAAAATAAATGCTCAAACAATTTATAGTGCTTATCAACTTGCCTTAGATCATGCTAGGCCAAATGTTCCAACCCCTACTTCGTCTAGTTCACAATCGTCTAAAAGAGCTGCGGGCCTAAAAGCACTTAAATCTTGGACGGAGTTCAGGGGTTCTCAAGGTGATAATTTTGATGAAACTTCACATCTAAATGAGCTTAAAGTTTATTTGTCGCAGGGACTTGAAAAGGAGAATCCAGACGGCACCTTTGATCTTTTGGAATGGTGGAAGGCAAGGGAAAAACATTTTCCGTTTCTTGCAAGGATGGCTCGAGATATTTTATCTATTCAAGTTTCAACAGTTGCATCAGAGAGCGCTTTCAGTCAAGCAAGACTTCAAATAGGTGATCATAGAGCGTCTATGAAGGAGAGCTTGGAAAAATCAGTACTATTCAGATATTGGATCCGCTCGGAAAGAAGAAACTTTGGACTTGCAAAATCACAACCGAAGCTTATGAAGAAATGATAGCGGAACTTGCGGAGGATGCTGCTTCGCCCGGAAGCGGTGATGAACAAGCTTCTTTTCCTCCACCACCAACGGAACCTCCTCCGAACCTTGAAGGATTTATGAGATTTGTTAGAGATACAATGTAGATTATGGTGTAACTTGTACTTTGGCACATCTTCTTTAGTTTTTTTGCCTTTTAATGGTGGTATTAGCACCTTGTTGTGCTCATTCCATTGGGGGGAAGAAGACTAAAAAAGATATGCCATTTTTGGTAATAAAAATTATAAGACATTCCCTTGAATATCTCTTTGCAATATTTTTTTTTCTTTAACTTGTAATTCTTTATAAGCTATAAGATATATACATAACACACTATATATACTACAAGAAATTATATAAGGAAATATATATACATAACATACTATATATACTATAGTATACTATATATATATATATACTACAAAATATTACAAGAAATTATATTTGGAAATATATATACATAACATACTATATATAGTATAGTATACTATATATACTATATATATATAGATATATATACTAACATACTATATGTACTACAAAACATTACAAGATTTTTCAAAAGGAGGGCCCCACCCCCAATGACCATTGCCAACGGTCATATTGCGCAAATAGCCTATTTTTTTTTTCTTTTTCAATTTACAAAACTAACCTTCTCTAAATCTATAAATGCCCCCCTCCCTCTTCTTCATTTCAATACTGAATACTCATTTCTCAATCTAAATTTCTCTCAATCTCCAATTTTCAATGCTTCAAGTCTCAATCTCAAATTTCAAGTTAAATCATACCTCGTTCGGAAAGAGTGCGCTTATTTGTTTCGCAACACTTTGAAGTGCTTGAAGAAAATGAAGACTCTTCAGCCAAATATTAAAGTGCAAGAACTGTGGAAGAGTCTTAAATTTTCGTTCGTACCACAAGCATTTTAAGGAGGCATATAAAGTATTGTCTTAGCGTATTTATCCGGAAATTCGTCTTTAAGATTTTTCGACAATTTGTGTTATTTTAAAATTATTAGACGTATTTGTGCTTAATGTTTTACTTTGTTATTAATTTATTATGCATAATAATTTAGTTTTACTATTGTTTTGTTATTTTACTTTTTCTTCAAGCACTTTAATAATTAGGTTTCTATATTATATATACTACATATATTTATATAGCCATGTATAAGAGCAATTTATATTAGTATATACATATATGGCTTACAAGAAATTGTCTTAAACAAAAAAAATAGCCCGGAAATAAAAAAGCCCGTATGGGCCCGCGAGCCCGGCCCATTTAGCCCAAGACCATGTGGGTTTAGGCCCGTCATGGGCTGGTTCCACCCGTTGAGCCCATGAAGCCCGGGACCGCTAAGCCCAGGCCCGTTTAGTCCGGCCCAGAATACAGCATTATCTGCCAGCATCTAGCTGAGCAAATTTAGAGTATAGTGACAATAGATATGCAAGCTTAGTGTAGCGGACTGGTGCACACAATTTATAAGTCAAAACAAAGTATGATCGATTTTAGCCTTGCATTTCGCAATTCTTTAAGGGTTGGGAGCGCAATAACAATTTACTTCTGTACGAGAAGAGTTGAATGAAAAGCCCACAAAATCATAAGAGTATTTACAAAAGAATCAGTGACTGAAAGAAGTAGAAGAAGAAATAGGACACAGAAGCCTCTTACTAATTAGAGAAAAAGAATTAACCAAGTCAAAGACCATGTAGAGGAAAGGGCATTCTGTTGAAAGAACTGTTTTTTCCACTTTGTGCATGCGGGCATTGCTCTGTCATTAGTATCTCTTGCAGGAGTATTAGGAACTCACGAGATTTCCACTTTGTGCATGCGGGCATTGCTCTGTCATTAGTCTCCTGCACATTAGTATCTCTTGCAGGAGTATTAGGAACTCACGAGATTACACAAGCACTTAGCACCTACAATCACATTGTTTACGAGATAATATTCGAACTACTTCATGCATATTCGCTACTGATTTAAAAGAAGAAAAAACCAACTACTTCATGCATATCCTTATGTTTTTCCCCGATTTTGTTGTGTGAATGTTGTGCGGCTTTAGTAGGTTGTACACAACTCGACTTTTAAAAAACCTACATGAACTGGGGTTAGATCGGAAAATGTCGAAGTATAGTTTATCTGAAGGGTTAAATTATTCTTCACATGCACAATGCACTATTCTTTCTCGGACAGGTTTCTTATATTAGTGCTCATAGTCGCATCTTTTGTGGCTCTGGAATTTACTAATTGCAGCTAACCGAGCTGTTGAAGTAAATGAAATGTGGAAGTTAAGGCAGAAAGAGGTGGAGCTTGAGAACAGGCTTAAAGGGAGGTTGGCAGATAAGAACAGAGATACAAAGTGTCATAGCTCTAATGTCTCCGAAAGGAGGTCACGTGAGAGATGTGATACTGATTCAGGCACGAGTGGATCAAAGAAAAGAGAGATACAGGATTCTCATTCCAGTGAGGATGATGGCTTAAGAGATGCTGAAATTGAGGAATTTTTACAGTCAAGGTCAATCTTTCTCTCAGAACATCTATTTGCGCATCTATGTGGCTGCATGCATCGAGTCTTAAACTTCTCATTCCCTGTCCTTTTGTGGTGTCAACTTCGATGTGCCTCACGTTGCTAAGTGAACATCTTGTTATTGGCAGGGTCAAGCGTGGCAGGGGAACTGTCGGGTCACGGATGGATGAAGCTGGCCCTTACCTTCCTTCTGGTCCGGATCCTAGAGAAAGAGAGTCAGCAAGTCCTGATATGAAGCTAAGCAAAGGACGCGGATATCATGTTGTCATTGGTCCAGAGAAGCCCGTCTGGCTGAATTCCCCTGGTTCTTCAGAAAATGAATCTCTGTCAGAAGATACGACAAAGGTCCGGAAGAAGGCTAAATCCAGTAAACACCACCACCAGTGTAGGAAACATAGATCAAAAAAGAAGTCCAAGGATAAGGGGGATAAAAGGAGGAGAGAGGAGAAAAGGGTCAAACGTCACAGATAGATATTATCACCTAATCAGTGTATATTAACTTTTTCTCTTCCTTGTTGATTCAGAGGTTCGTTCAGATGTTAAACGTCAGAACTTTATTCCTGCTTCGTGGAAGTTTCATTGTTGTGTAATTTTGTATATTTTGCTCATTTCTCCTGTAAAGATGACCTTTTGAACAAGTTTTACTCCATTTTCACTGCACTGCAACAACTTCTCACCTCCACTTTAACGAAATTTTATGTAAGCTTCTTCAAGAAACAGGTGTCAGTGTAACTCGCATATTACATCTTGTATTGGACAACTATTTGATTTGACCTCGACTCTACAACAACAACAACCCAGTAAAAATGGGATTTGGAAAGGGCTTGACTCTCCTATCTCAAAATCAAGGGGCCTCGAATGAGTGAAAATATTTAAAGGTATTGACTAGGTGTACATAGTCCGGGTTGGTTCGGATTTTTCAATTACCAAACCAAACTAATTGTCTCGGATGTTTACAATGACTATATTTTTCCATTCATTATCGACGGCAAATCATACTATCCCTTGAACTGAGCAGTTGGCAAATATTAGCAGCTCCAGTTTCACTCTGAGAGTTCCTATTCCCATCCACCACATCTTTAGGTAATTTACTATGGTACAAGCTATTTGATGACACTCCTATATCTGCCATCTTAAAAATGGTTTACTCTTGAAAACAGCCCATAGCCAGCCACTCAGCACTGTATCATAAATTGCTCCAACGCTGACATGAAAACGTCTTTATATCAGAAAGAACCTTTTTATAAATTTTTGAGGTTCATTTTTTCAGTAGACAAGAGTATTGTACAAAGCGTCTCGAATGTTCTACTATAGTTGTTTGCAAGTACGGTAAGACAACTCTTAAATAAGACATCAAAATTTTCTAATTATACATTGTCTACAACAACATAATTAACAACATATATATGATTATGAATCCTCCACGTGGTGATCCGTCTCATCAAAGATCTCCTCCTACAAAAAAAAAAAAACAGAATCGACATTTAGATACCTCGGAGCTGCAAAAGTCATGGAAAATATTGAAATCTAAAAGCTCTACATATAGCAAATTTCATTCAGTTCACCTGTAAAAGCTCTTCAATAACATCTTCCATAGTTATTATACCAACAACCTCTTCCTCTTCTGGGAGTTTTGGCAGGGGATTTCCATCAATTCGCAGAATGTCCGAGTACATATCTCTAGTCCACTTTTTGCTCCTAGAACTTTTGAATGAAGCATTTCCACCATTAGGGAAACTCTTCCACTTCTGCAATGATCGCTTTGTCTTCAGACTCTTCTCTAGGGCAGGCTTTTCACCATCAATGTCAACCCTGACATCCTTCACGGGATCTAGAGAGCAAAGAGACGGTGGAATGTCCAGATTAGAGAAGGTTTACATGCGAGAAAAGCAAAATAAGCCAGCAAGCATTACGTACTCTCTGCAGGGGATTTGGTATCGGAATGATCCATATCCTTGTTGCACTGTCGTACAACCACAGCCATGTGGCTATGACCTTTCTGAAACTCATTCAGGATGTCATCCAAATGCATAATATCTGGGACCCTGCACCATAAGAATGGGAAATCGTGAAGGTGTTTATGAGGGATATCGGAAGCATAAAACAATCAACCACTCACGGTAATTTTAACCTAAAACAAATGCAAGCATCATTGACACAAACCAGATGGCATTCCATTCTTGGGAAAGGTTAGATGACATAAAACACAAGACTAAAATTATCTTTTCTTGAACACACTTGATACTATCATTAACAGCATTTAAGTTGCCCTCCGTCTACATTCAAGTTGAATGTCATTTTCACTTCATGAGCCGACTTTCTGTATTTTCAAGTAATTTATGAATAAATGAACTTTTTCAAATAAAGTAAACCATTTTTTGATTTCAAATAGAATACCGGTTGAACCAACTCTCAGTGAATGCAGTAACATCCAATTTGAAACCACGGAAGTAAGAGATGTGGTGAAATACATCATGGAAAAGAATTTTCAACTATCCTATACTATAATAATGAATAGACGCATACAAGAGATCTGGAAAATCTTTACCCCTTAGTTTTTGAATTCATTCATACTTCCACTCAATACTTAGTTTTTAAATTAATTGAACATACATCTTCTTCCGATTTCTGTTAGAGAAATTCCTTCAGGAAACCAGTTCTTTCCTATTTCTGACTATTTAGAGACCCACACATCAGGAATGTAAGCCTAACTCCTTGTAAAATAGATGAGCCAGTTAAAACACACCAAAAATTTAATTTATGACCTTAGTTTCTGATAGGCTGCTATGAATCACTTAACAACAAACAGAAATCAAGCACGCAGCATAAGTTGTTCCAACACACAGACACACAGCGACTACCTCCCTCCCTTTGTTGTAATGCACATGTGTAAACATCGCCTACCACTTTATGTGGGTTCTACGCTGAAATTATCAGAGTCAAATAGCAGTCCCTAGAGGAAGTTAGGGCAAACTGATGGTTGTTAGACAGATGTCTAAGCAAGTTAGCTAGCTTGAGTTGGGAGGAAAACTTGGATAAGCCACATTACTACTTAGGAGGATTTCTTTCATCTGCAGCTATAATGGAAGTGTCAGGTAGTGTACTAGTTCACTCTTTATAGCAACTTAGCCAAACCTGAATAAGTCACAACCTACAGATTTCTATTATGCATAGTTCTGGAAAATGGATGTATAGACCCAGACCATAAACCTCTAAAAAGAAGGAAGCATGTGAAGTGGGAACAATGTACCTTCTTTTTTATGATTTTAAAGTGGAAATATTGTACCTTAGAACAACATGACAAGACTTTAAGCATAGTTTAAACCTAAAAAGCACTAGAGACTACCAATTAGCGGCATGCAGCAGACAGAGAATAACAGTCTGCCTCATCTTACATATGAACTAACTGAACAGACAGGAAAGGCAGCTAAAACTACAAAAGTTCTTTTTCACTTCTTAGTTTCTGGAGGTTTTCAGAATGCCCAACTCTAGACTGAACAGATTATGAAAAGGTGTACATGCCAAAGGATTCTGAATTACTGAAAGAGAAAGACAGGCAAAAAGAACTTGAATGTAAGTTAACTATATGCTAGCAACTGATAAAAAAAATTAAATATATGCTAGCAGCAATCACAAACCAAAGAAAGCATAAGAGTCATTTAATTTTTGCATCCATGTGAGGAATTAATAGTTTGCCAATACGTAAGATATAAAACATACCTGGGGATTCTTCGGATGGTAACGCTTTTCACAGGAGTTTCATCTTCTGGATGGACAGTCAACAAGTTCTTGACCTACCATGTCATAAAATAACTAGGCAATTAAGGTATTAAAGACGAAAATGGAACATAGAGACAGAGTCATTACAAAGTTGGCAACATGTGGGAAGTGAAATCGAAGTTCGTGGAGAGAAATTGTCTTATTGTGTTGAAATTAGGCGAAAAGATGCTTCCAACTATGTCGAGAGGAGCTGCATAATAAATCAACAAGTACCAGAATTAGCCCTATTATGTTTGTAGGTTGGTCATAGTAGACTGGTATCCTGCTATGCCCTTTCTCCAAAATCAAGTTCATCAAATTCCTACACATAAATAGGAGAATATAGAGTATGAAGCAGCTGAAGAGGCATACATAAATCCATAATTTATACTGACATCTAACAAATATAGAAACCTGTCCAGCTTCGCATTAATATCAATGGCAAAGATTTCAGATATCGGGGTCATCGCATCACTAGCTGTTTTGTCATGCAGCTCAAGAGCACCAGCGATTATCGTTGTCTCATCATGTGTTAGTTCTCCGCCTTTACCAGCCTGTTAACAAGTAAGTCATGGTATTAGAAATATAAAATAACCAACACATGGTAAGTAGGAATTCTAATTCTAGCAGTTTAGAGGTAGATATTCTCTACATCATTAAAAAAAGTAGGAATCCTAGTTCAAGTGGTTTAAAGGTAGCAATAAGTCAATCAGAAAATATAGGAAATAAAAACAGCTACATCTATGTCGCAATGTGTAAGAAGCACAAACACCTAACCGTATCAACAATAAAACTTCAATTAGTTACCTCATTCCCATGCAAATTTACTAGAGTTTTCAACTCAGCTCGCCGGAAAAGAGCTCTATTTCCATGTCCCAGCAGAAAGTCCAACAGCTGGAAATCACAGCAACTAAGTGAGCTATTAATTAAAACAAACAACTACCATCCCAAAGCCAACATTTGAAAAACTAACTTGGAGTACAGCAGTGGCGGACCCAAGATTTTGTGCAAGCGGGTTCAATCATAAAAGTACATAACTTTAGTCGTAAAATAGTAGTTGTCAAGTGGGTTATTGGGTTCAAATAAAATATATATACAAAATTTACGCAGCTTTAATCGTAATTTATACATATACACAGTAGTATTATTTTTTGATGAAGCGGGTTCAACTGAACCGCTTGCCACCACGTGCGTCCGCCACTGGAGTACAGTGCGCACTCTATTCAGAAAGACAATGGGAAGTTAACATAATCATTGCAAAAAAGAGTCTACCTTGCTTATTGGATATGCAATAGGAAAACAGATCCAAACAAGAACACGAACAACTGGGGCTGTAGCTGCACCAATGGCCAGTCCATATCTTGAGCAAACAGATTGTGGTATGATCTACCCAACCACACAAAGAAAGCAGCACGTGTAAATTCATCATGCGGTTTCACCAAACAGCTTAATTTTCACCAAACAGCTTAATTCTTTGACTTCTAAGGAAAATAATACTGACTTAACTCTTGATAATTTGTGTTTTTAAGAACAATAAATTTTTATCTAATTCCTTCTTCATTAAATAAGCAGCACAAAAAGAGGAATAAGAAGCATTTTTCACTATGGAATCTGTTTACATTCCACCCCCACTGTCCAGTAAGCTAAATAGCATCTTAAAGGCAACAATCCATGGATGGTATGGAGTGCATAAGGTAACCTCCAAACCAAAAGCTCATTTGCCCGTTTCACCAATCTTGCAGGAGTTCTAACTATATATTTTATTCAAAATTTTAAAGAGAGATAATTGCACTTATTTGAGTGGGAGGGAGTGACAACAATTTCAACCAGAATTATTAAAATAATCATAAAGCAACTTAGGAAAAAAAATAATGACCCCTAATAAAAAGCAGTGACTCTCCTAAGAATCATATCATGTAATTCATGTGAAGTTGGCCATCTGTATAAATTCAGGGTAGACAAAGAGCAGGGAGGGAGGTACACACACCAGGACCCTATC